TCATAAAAGCTTACTCAAACACATTTCTGTTGAAGTTGAACACCTTGAGACAAACTTGTTTTGTTAAATTGCTTTATGAATATGTGTTACTTGAAGAAACAGATTAACTAACACACACACACACACACACCAGCAAACACATTTGGCAGTGATTCTTGCCACCAACATGCAGAAAGATGACTTTGTCCCCATTGGAGGACTGACAATACATCATCCTATTATACTTTATTGTTTCTGGCTGCAGCAACAACATTCATTAAAATGGATTCAATGCTAATGCTGCTTGTGTGTGTGTCTCAGAGATTTTATCAGGTATGTTTTGTTGCCTGGGGCTCAATCACAATGCATGTATGTGTGGTTGACCCTACCAGAATGTGTGTGTGTGTACGTGTAAATTGTGCACAAGTATGTACTTTGTTTTGTTCAAACAAAGCTGGTGTGTCTGCATATATGAGCGTGCATTGGTGTGTGCGTGAATCCATTACTTATGCTGGGGAGGTATAGCGTATTGGTGTTGCATTGCTTCCTTACTCACAGAGCAATCAACCAGCTGTCCTTCGTACAAACAAACAGGGTACAACGATCAATACAGATATCAAACACGTCCCACTGTGGCGTGTGTGTGTGTTTAAATATGTGTCTAAGAGACAGAAAGGAGGGAGGTGAAAAGAAAGAGGACAACGGGTATGAGTGTGAAAAATAAAGAGTTTTGCTGCAGTCTAAAAGACTGCAAAACTCACAGATGTAGATGTAAGGTCTAGTTCATCATGGAGAATCTCGTGGAGAATTTACATATAACCAGTATTTCAATAAAACATGTTGTATTCAGTCAATAAAAAGGAGAAAAGGGCATGCAGTTTTAAAAAGGCATACATGATAAAAAAAAAAAGGCTGTGGGAATATGAAGAAATATATATATTTATAGAACATATAAGTGATATGGAAAATGTGCTTTGCATGAACAGCTCAGTTGATATGGCACATGTTACACGTAGTGAAAATGTGTAAAGTAAAATAAAGCAGTCTTACATCTCCACAATGCCCTCAGGGAGGTTGGCTGGTATTTCAGTAAGACCTTTACGACGACAGTCCACTATGTTGTTGTTGCAGCTGCAGCTGGGTGGACACACGGCTACCTGAGGAACACAAGTCCTCGACTCTGTCTGTGCTGGACCTGTAGACAGCAATATACAGGTACAATATAATAGATTCAGAGAACGTTGGTCTGCTGCCAAATACGAAGCAGAGAATAGAAGATTTCTCTGTGCCTGCAGCTACATTTACTCTTACATAAATAATGCAATCACATTTTAGCTTCTCTTCTAGTCCTAAAATTCTTCAGAACGATTTTATCACATTTTCTCTCAATGGTATTATTGTCAGGTTCAGTGGGCAGTTGATGGTCTTCATTTGCATCCTGTCAGGAAGAAGATTCTTTACAGGAAACAGATTTTTTGGTATGAAAAAGAAATGAATTGCAATATAAACTGAATATTAGTACTAAATATTCACAGTCCGTACACAAAAATATTGCTAAATCAAAGCACGAGGACACCTACAGTATGGGATGGGAATGGAGAAAAGTGCATTAAGAGGAGGTCCGTTATGGAGGATGTAGGCAGAAAAGACAAGACTAAAAGCTAATAAAGAGAGCACCAGCTGACAGTCTATTAGCACAGAGAGCTGAATCAGAGGCCTATAAACAGTGCCTATAGTATCTGCAGCTGATAACACCGCTGCTCTTATACTGGCCTTTTAGCTGATTACACGCTCTACATGGTGTAATTCTTTCACTGCTGTAAACTCAATGCTGAGCTGTCTGGAGATGATAACAATGCTGCCAGTAATAATGATCTTTATTACATTCTCTGTATTGTATACCTTGTATACTGTCAACGACACCAAATTCAACCCTGAACTTCTACTTGAATCTGCTCTGTATGTCATATATATTGGTGTTTCTGAACAGTTTAATTCAATTCTATATCCATTTTAAAGTAAAAACCTTACTAGTAGAGGCTCGATTTCGAGCTGCAATGGAGCCAAAACTGGCAGCTGAAATATTTTCACAGGTTTTGTTCCACAGCCATTTTTTTAAATGGGTAAAACTACAAACGTGCCAAGTTAGGGCTTTTTTTATTACCACCTTCACTTATGAAACAGTGACATCATCACTCCCTGTGATAATATGCATAGTTCATGCCACAATAAGTACTAAAAACGTACTCTTTAATATTTCATTTGAATATCATGTGTATGTGTGTTTATGTGAGCTCACCATTGCAGACAAAATCCTTCTTCTGCACATCTGGGACATTTAGGCCCCTCATGTGGGCGGGGGCCATGCACTGGGTGAAGGGAGCCAAGCCCCGCCTGGCTCTGAGCCAATCAGAGAGCCAGGACAGGTGACAGTCACAGTGGAGATTGTTTGAGTGCAGACGCCTGAGACAGATAGAATAAGATAAGTCACTGTAAAGAAAGGTGTGATATTAAATACTGTTATTAGCTCAAAATAAGAACCAAAACATGAAAAATTATCCAATCTGTAATGTTCATTTTCTAGAGGCGAAAGTCTTTCAAACGGTCTGTGAAGTTAAACTGAGCACATCAGCTCAGTAAGTGCAAATGTATTTTAGTCTGCATTCAAATAGGTTCTATTTTTCACACAGCTTACATCGTTGGCCAGGCTCATGAGGCTGTTGCTTAGGTGAAACACACAAACAAACAGGCACGCAGACACACACACACACACACACACACACACACAGAGTAATATCCTCAGCTCTCATTTCCCCAAGGTCTGTGACAATATGACTCCCTTTAGAGGGAGGACACATTTGGCCAAATCACAATCTATTCAGAAAGACAGGGAGAGACAGAGAGACAAAGAAGACAGACAGAGACTAAAGTGTGAAGGAGGAAGATTAAAATTTTGGAAAAAGAGACTGAGGGAAGATTCAGACATGAGGTCACAAAGACTGGGCCTCCAGACCCCTGGATAAATATATTTTTAAATGTCAGTGCACCAAGATGACAAAAATGCTTACTTTCTCACACAAACTTTGAGTTTTCTTCCTTGACTCCAGTACCACAGAGGTAAATTAAATTATGTTCTGGTGGCCAATGCATTGAAAACCTAGATTTAAAAACACTCAACGCCCCCCCAGAGCTGATGTCCATGTAGTTGGGGATAACTTGCAGAACACACTAGTTCTTCGACAGTTAGTGCCAATCTCAACTGTACCCTGAGTAACTGGAATATTGTTTCTGGAGAGAGATGGTACGTGCTGGGTATTTTTTATTTAAATGTAATTTTCTCACAATGTTGCAAGTGGCAAAAACTAAATTCCATTTAGCTCTATTTTAAGGGCTACGCTCCTCTGTGATTTACATTTAGCACATGCGACAAGGCAACATATTCTCTCATCAGGTGACTCATTTTTAGATGCTGATGAGATTTACAAATGCCAATTTAGGTAAAACTTTTACAATAATAGCCTTTTCAAATTTTACTTGTAGCGTTAATTAAAAGGTACTGCTCATTATAGAATGCATCAGGTGATGTTTCACAGAGCTGAGACTCTCTACGGGCTGCAGTAGCTGGATTTGACACGAGAGAGAGAGAGAGAGAGATGAGGAGGAGGAGGAGGGCGGATGAACAGCAGAATGTCTTGTCAGCGTATTATATGCCAGCCGGGATATCTAGCCTTTCAGAAGACAGGCCTCCCTTTGTAATAAAGCAGAGGACAAATCCTGTTATGGAACAGAGATGGGCTCATTGATGCTAGCAGCGGGGGCAGTGGGTTTTAATACCGCTCTCCCATTATAAATCCAGTTTATAGTCAAACCCCCGCCTGGAGATAGCCACGTCCTGGCCCACCCCCGGCTCAGCCTTAATTACTGACAAGTAGGATTAAAACACAGGGGAGAATGGGAAGAGGCAGGGGGTATGGAGAAAAGCGCCGTGTTTGTGTGTACGTGTGTGTGTGTGTGTGGATTGTATTTGTGTGTAGCTGTAAGTCAGTGATAGCGTTTGTTGGGCTTATTGGTTGCGGGTGACTAAGGGCATGGTGCATGGTGGTTCTGTGAATGTGTGTGTGTGTTTATTCTTAGTATTTGCTCCAGAGGGTTACCAGGCACATCTTTATTACCGAGAATCACACACACACACACACACACACACAGATAGAAGCAGTGGGAATTCTAATCTTTTCATTGGTTCAAGTTTCTGAATGAGAGACACCATGAGGTGATATCATTACTGCTAATAGAATAGAGGAAGAACGAGACAGAGATGAATAAAGAGAATAAGAAAAGAATAGAAGAGACGAAACTAAATATCGTATGTAAAAGCAGTCGTATCAAGAAATCACAGATTAAGGTGGCATGGGACATAAGACATTTCCTTTAGAAATAAGTTTCTAAACACACACAAAGACACACTTCTCAAACTTCCTCGCTTATCAAATCTTATCAGGGACATCTCTAAACATTTGATTGAATGAGTCGTTTTTATAAAAGCAGCAAATTCAATACAGAGATCGCAGGGCGGCAAAAAGGAACAGACATACATTTTATTACAGAGGAGGCAACAAACAAGGAGGGAGAGGAGGACGATGAAGACGTAGAGTGGGAGAAGGGACAAAGAGAGGGAGAAGGGATCACAAGAGGACAGGAGGAAGCAGAAGAAGACAGGTGAAGATGTTGGTAGGAGTGAAAGAGGAAGCAACAAAAGGAAGGAAGGAAGAACAACACAAAGGGAAGAATGACCCAAAGTGACAGGAATATTGGGGAAAAGTGAAAGGGAGAAAGGATTGTGATGATGGCGAATTCATGATGGGAGAGGCTGAAAGGGGAAGAAAGACTGGACTAAGTGAGGAAGAAATGTGAAGTGGGATGCACACATAGCAAAGAAGGAGGAGAGAAAAAAGGAGGGGGACACACGAGGAAATCAGAAGAGACAGTCACTCAGTGTTGACAGAAAACAGAAGCAGACGAGGGCTTCTGATTAAAAGATATTGAATATTGGTGACTCTGCACTCAATCTGTTGGCGACTGTGTAGCTGCGCTGCTGCCTGAAAATCCAATTTTAAAAGGCTTGATTTCGAGACGTATTGCCACTAGAGTTGGAGCAGTGTGGAGGAAATGTAGAAACCCCGCCACGTGATTGGCTGTTGATGGATGCTGTCGTTCAAAAGGCGAACAGCGAAAATGGCCGTAAAGGATAAATGGACTTCTGCGATTGTTATCCTGATGAGTTGTGTATTTAGAAAATCCTCATTTCTGAATGTTAAGCAGGGAATCTTGACCACACAAGTGCCTCTTAAAAATTGTGATTTGGGGAGGAAATCCCATTCTATGCATGCTGGTTTTGGCAGAATTCAACCCCAGTGTGGCCAGCAGGAATGCAACCAATGGTCTGCCTCTCAAGACAGTCCCACGGGATTATGGGTAGGTTTCCCTTGAGATGTCGTGCCATCGCCTTGGCAACTGTAAGATCTCCTTCACACAACTAAATACAGAAAAAAACATACACACACAAAGCAAGGAAGATTTGGCCTTGGGTTCATGATGGATCATGATTGTGTGTGTGTGTGTGTGTGTGTGTGTGTGTGGTGTGTGCTCACATGAGTAAATAAG